GGGAAAGCAAAACGTCTCGATCAGAAGCCACTCTGCTTGGTCTCTCTGCCTTTGACCAAATTCATGTAATGCACATTGCCATATATGCAAAGGCCTCTTCTTTCCATCATTAACATTTCTTAAACACAACAAGTTATTACCCATAAAAATCACATCCATGCCTAAATCACCAACACTAGTCACAGTCAGACTTCCACTGATAGGGAATAAGATGACAGCTTTTTTATTTTTAAGTTTCTGTAAGAAAATGCATCTGTTTCTACCAACAATTTCACGTCTTCCTTGCTGCATTTGCCACAGCTGCAATAACCTTTGCAAAACCAACAGAGAGAAGACTCCCCTCCACCTACACCTGAACAAACAAGCACCTTCCCTTGGTTTCTGGGTAACCGGCACCAGAATTGTTCTTTCTGGTTATGATGCTCTCTGTTGTACGACCTTAGAATGTAAATTTTCCTTCAAAGCCTTTATTTCCATCACTGAAATGCTGTAAGTTCCTGTAACTAGCATCTTTTAACTTCCATTGCTCAGTTTTTGGAGGCTGGAAGGCAGAGGAGAGGGGAAAAAAACATTCCAGAATTTTTTGAAAGGTGTTTCAACTGTGTGACTATGTTTTTACTAGAATCACCATCAAGCAACAATGATCCCACAAAATGTACAAGTTCAAAGTTCTTTGCAAATTAATGAATGCTATTTTTGTTTTTGTTTTTAAATCATGTGGTAAGCAACAAGATAGAAAACAAGTAGCATGCCACTTCTTAAGAGAGTCTATGGTGCATCTACGGTATGCATCCTAAATAGATTTTAAAAGTTGCTACTGGGCCACTTAGCTACCTTTGTAATATAATAATCAATTTAGTCTTTAGCCAAGCAAATATATATATTTTGTATGTTTATTAGCTTACAGTCTAATCAGCTAATGTCAAAAGCTAAACTCTTTTAGGCTTCTTTAATGTTATACATAACTCAGCTTCTGAACACACAACTGAAAAGCACCAACACAGTATCAATTTACATAAACTCATTATCTCCTGCAGAGAATAAGTATCTTAGGTTAAAAATATTCTTAAAATTATGAAAAAATGTTCATTTTTATTCTTATACTTCATTATTTCTTCTTGTTCTTCTGATAGGGCCTTTATAAATCACATTAGTACAAGTTTGTGTTTAATAAGTAATTAAAAGATTTTTATCCCTGAAAATAACTTGCTACCTCCTGCATGACACAGTGCTGTGTAATGGGTATTTAGCATATTTGGTGAACATATTCATAACAAGTTATTTCTATCATCAACCTACCTTTGGAATGACTGTGGTATTTAAGCAAAATAGAAATTTAAAATATGTGCTTATGTGTACAAGATTTTCAGAAAAATAAAAAGAAGAAATAATCTAAAGAAAAGATTATTATTAATAAAGTATTTTCTATACAAAATACCCAAAGGGAGAAAATTTAACATTGATTCAATTTGCCCTTTATCCTAAAATTTTAAAAGACCAAGACCAGGAATGTTGGGTGGAAGCAGAATTGAACTTTTCCACAATGACCCAGAATATTTCTATTGCAAAATCACCTTTTGTCGGCAGAAAGATAAAACATTGAAAAATGATACATACGTGAAAGGAACAAAAGAGAAAAGTGCTAGCCTTGCAAATCATGCTCACTTATAGACTGGTGACCCAACCATTTTAGGAAAGCATTCCAGTACTAGCCTTTTTTTCTTTCTTCCTCTCAATATCTCCCTTTATCCTCTGAAAGAGACAATAAGTCCTATTACAAGACATTTGCAAGTATAAATGAATACCTGTGGGTGTTTATTAATTTATTAAATTAATAACTGATATAAAAATAAAAATTTTCAATGTATATGGGGGTCCAGAAATTCAATCGTGTTGTGGTTATAAATGAGTACAAAACATACTGATAATGCTGGTGGACTCCTTTCCACTGAGAACTCCTGCTCTTTACCCTCCTGAGCCATAAATAACCCCGTGTTCAAAAATTAAAAGAAAAATTTGCCTTAACTTGTGAGCAAAACATAAAGAACTATGGAATGAATTCAACCTTCACCACATCAGAAAACATCACATTTACTAATAAACTTGATACAAGAGACAACATAATCAAAAGTAAAATTAATGTACGATGAAAAAAACAACAACAAATAAGGTGCTGAATTAAAACTCAGGAGTTTAACATTTTGTCATTTCTTCTGGGAGGCCTAACCATCTAACCATAGAATGAGAATCATTTTTAATGCCATCAGATGTTCTACGGACATTAACATGATGACATCTTTAAAAATATTTACAAAGACTACTGAAGTGACCCATTGGCTTTTTCTGTATTATATAATTCAGTCAGAGAAACATATTGAATTTCTCTTGCCTGTTTTTTTTTTCTCCACACTCTACTGCAAACAGAAAAAAAAAAAAAAGCAAAACTCTAACGATATCGGCTTTAAAATTATAGAAAAATTATGTCTATCTGGATAATTTTACTATGTTCTATAAAATAAGATACAAGTGGTGAATGTGTGGATGGCATGAAAAGCAACAATGAGGTCCAGTGCCTTGTTTAGGACACAAGCATGGAAAAGAGCTAAACTGAGATAGAAGCACCGTTTTCTTTCCTTCTCTAAAACATAAGGGTACAGTCAATATTTCAGTTTAAATCTTAGACACAATATTGATGTAAGAATTACAAGTGGTATTACGTCTTTGTGTTAAGGAAGAAAAACTTTTCTTTATGCTCCTCACTGTGACTGGGCTTTCAAAAGGAATTCAGCAGTTTTCTCTCACTTTCAACTGTGTATTCTAAAATAAAAACTAAGAGGGAAAATGAAAGTATTTATTTTAAAAAAAGATATTGATAATATATCTAAAATTATTCTATCACAAATTATTCTTAAAGATATGAGATTTCTGTAAACCTGCCAGATAAGATTCTCCTCTCCATATAAGTCTTTGCTTCTAAAAAGGAAATTATATTATTATATTATTTTTTCAATATTCTCAGAATAACAAGATTAATTTAAATTAGCTATTTATAAACAGATTGAAGACTCGGTGCTAATTAAAACTTTAAACGTAATTTGACATGTAAGTTTTAACTCTTCTTTAAAATTAACCTTATACACTACAAAGATATATTCAAATGGACTACCTCTTGTCTACACTGTTGTGCATATATTTTTTCTTTTGCTAAGAAAGTCAAAAGTAGCAATAGTTTAAACATGATACTACATGCCAACTAGGAGCTCGATAAAAACTTGTTACTTATTTGTAATAC